CAAACACACGGAAACGACCGCAAACAAACAGGAAGGAGGAAGGGCAGGTGCAGTGAAAGTGCCAATGCAGCACGAATGGCAGTACGAGAATTACATGTTTATGAAAAACCGCCTACTAATATCGATAAAAACACATGAACAAATAGTGAACCTATCAGTTTCAGCAAAAGAACCCTAATAAATACACATATTGAAGCACAACTGCATTTGCCCCGCGGAAACCTTACGGCCAAGAGGAGCGAGCAACAGCTCCAGCCAGCCGTTGATCCCCAGCACTAAGACTTATGTTTTACCTGGTCGCACGTTCCTTTGCCAGAAGATATACATGCCAACGCTCCAGAGGAAATAAACCAATTCGGGGTCAACTGTTGTCAGCAAGGAGGAAACGCTTTGTTTTTGGTAGAGGCCAATGTTCACAATTACCGTCAAGAATACAGCTCTGAAAGCACGCAAGAAACAGTCCCTAGGCAGCCGGTTAACACTGAACCCCTTTGGCATTATGCTTGGTTGAGGATATCACGGTTGAAACAGCAGAACTAGAACGCTAACAGAAATTACGCAGCGGAACGTCTTTTGAATTCTTAGCTACAAACCCTGGACTTCAAGTTTGGGGTTTCCACTGAATGGAGGCGCACCTCGCTAGCATACACCCAAGCCATGCCGCCGTGTTGATTAGCGAAATGAAGATGAGAAGGACGACGCCCTGGAAGGTCAGATCCCTGGTGCTCATTTGCTTCACCTGAAACCCAAACGGCACGCAACCCAAACCCTAAACCCTAAACACTAAACCCTAAACCCTAGGTCTGATCACAGGCGGTCACACGGGAAAGGTTTTATTCGAAGTGCTTCTGAAAAAAGGCGAACACAAGGCTTGATTGCAAGCATTAGGGGTACCGCTGGTGCAGGGAACACCAAACAGCGTGAAGGTCAAGAACTAGACAGTGACACTCCAATAGAGAGTTTGCGCTGCCTGGCGTTTTCTTCTATCTCTTTGCAAGCCTACGTTTCCTTGTTATCATATTTCTCGTACAAAACATTCGCTGGTGCACTTTTGGTTGTTTCTCTCTGCTATCTGGCTCGTGCTTAACCCAAATACGGTGCTTCGTCAGCACCAGGAAGTAAGACCCTCCCATCAAACAAACAATACGATTAAAATCATATATTTTAAATTGTATAATTGCTATTTTCTGCTACAGCTGCAGCATAAATGCATGCAGATATACATGTATTGAATGTATATAGTAATAAACACATGCTGGTATTCTAAGGAGAGTACTGTTAACTAAGTGTTCGCCTACAAAAGTGTTTTGGGTGTCGGGGTCGTTGGA